GTTATTGATATACATGGTCTTCATATTTTGCATAGTTTGTTTGTTTATGATCACACAGCAGATACATTCTTATGTCCTCATTTTACCATGTTGTTATAAACTCTTCATAAGTAGCATTTTCAATGGCTTCATACTATTCTATTCTTTTTTCTGTAATTCACTTAACTCTAGCCCTATGCTGGACATTGGGGTTGGTTCCATTTTAGTTATTAGAAGTAATTAGAATAACTAATTAGTTATTAGTTATTAGATGGTCATTTGATCTGATAAATAACGATTTGTTGGAGGAGGTAGCTATGAAATGGATGAACTTTCCAAAACTCCTCTGTGTTGTGGGCAGAAAGGTCAGATCCCTTGAAGAAACGGAAGATGATGAAGGTGGTTGAATAGGTGGTAACAGTAGGATGTATTAAGAAGACAGGCTTTTAATCCTAGCTTGATTGCTTCTATGTAACCTTAGGCAACTTACTTGAGTGATTTGTAAAAATGGGATAGCAATATCTAACACATGGCCTTGTTTATTCAGATTAAATGAAAGATGCTCTGAGGATAAAGTTCACAAACCTCTGAGGATGGCATCTGGCACATAAGAAGTACTCAGTGACTATAAGATAAAAGTGACCATGATCCACACCACCTTTGTCATGCCCATAGCTCTTTCTGAAAGCAGAAAAACTCATTTAAGCATGCACGCATCAAACATTTACTGAGTCCTTACTGCTCCCTGTTCTCTAGAAACTCGTGGTTAACAAGGGAAAAAGAGTTAAGCAGCTGCTACATCATCATGAAATGTGCCTGGATGGAGGGACTGGCTGCAAAAATTTCTCAGAAGAGGCACTGCTCAGCAATGTGAGTTAACCTCAACAAGGGGTTAATATCCAAAATACACAAGTAGCCCATACAACTCAAAATAAAATAAACAACCCAATGAAAAAATGGGCAGAAGACAACAATAGACATTTGTCCAAAGAATACATACAGATGGCCAATGGGCACATGAAAAGATGTTTGATGCTGCTAATTATTAGCAATTAATTAATAATTTTGGTGCTTCCCTGGTTGGCTCAATGGTAAAGAATATGTCTGCCAATGCAGGAGACAGAGGAGATGTGGTTTCAGTCCCTGGGTTGGGAAGATGCCTTGGAGAAGGAAATGGCAACTCACTTTAGTATTCTTGCCTGGGAAATCCCATGGACAGAGGAGCCTGGTGGGCTACAGTCCATGGGGTCACAAAAGAGTCAGACACAACTTAGCTACTAAACAACAACTAATAATAACTAATTATTATTAGAGAAATGCAAATTAAAACCATAATGAGGTATCGCCTCATACTGACCATACTGCCCATCATTAAAATGTCTACAACTAATAAATGCAGGAGTTGGTGTGGAAAAAAACAACCTTCTGACACTGCTGGTAAGAATATAAATTGATGGTGTGTGTGTGTGTGTATGTGTAAAATTCAGCCATAAAAAAGAATGCAATACTTCCACTTGCAGCAACATGGATGGACCTAGAGAATATCATATTAAGTTGGAGAAAGACAAATATTATACCACTTATATATATAATAAAAAAATAGTACAAATGGATCTATATACAAAACAGACTCACATGGGGAACAAACTTATGGTTACCAATGGGAGAAAGGAGTGGAGGAGAGAGAGATAAACTAGGAGTATGGGATTAACAGATCCAAACTACTATACATAAGATAGATAAGCAAAAAGGGTTTACTGTGTAACACAGGGAACAATATTCAATATCTTGCACTAGTCTATCAAGGAAAATAATCTGAAAAAAGATATATAACTGAGTAACTTCACTATACACCTGAAACGAATACAATATTGTAAATCAACTGTACTTCGATTAAAAAGAGAGAGAGTGAAGACGCACTGCTCAAATTGAATTTGTAAAGGTAAGGCTCTGGTGAGCAGCACAGACAGATACTGTACCAGGGCTCAGAGTGGCGAAGCTGCAGGAATGCACTTCTGGGCAGCAGGAAGTCTGGCAAAGCATGAGCCGAGGTAGGAGCTGGCAGGTGGCTCCTGACGATGCGGGGGGGTGGGGGGGAGCTTGTGGCTGGTTGGTGAGTCTGAAAGCGACAAGGGCCCCAGAGCAGCTCAAGTAGAAGATGGCCAGACCGGTTTTTCTCAGAGAGATTTCAAATAGTGGAGCTGCTGAAGAGCAAACACTGAACATTTCTAAGGCATATTGCCAAATAGAATTTGAAAAGGGGTGGGTCATTTTACACTCCAACTGGCAGCAACTACTCTCAGCACACTGCCTCGCAGGAGTCTCCCTTCTCAGAACCTCTTCCTGTGGTTCCCACGCCAGGTCTCCTGTGTCCTCTTCCCTGCGGTGGCTCCATCTGCCTCTCCTCAGCCTCCTCTCCCTTCCTGAGGGGATGCAGCCCTAGCGTCCTGTCCCGGCTCTCTCTCACCTTTGCTGAGGCCCTCACTGCCTGGGCTTCAGTGGCTACCTCTGGGCAGAAACTTCTGGCCCATCCTCTACACCATCCTCCTATCAGCCAGGGCAATGCCCCCAGGAAGTGCCCTCAAACACCTCAGCCTCTGCAGATCCAAACCTTGCCTCGTAACTTTCCTAACGTCTCCTCCTCCTGAAGTCCCTGCGTCAACAGCACCATCCTGCTTCCATCATCCAGACTCTAATCTCATGTCATTCTCGGCTCACCCCTCCCCCTCAGAGGCCCCAGCTCAGTCTCTCTTCTTTATCTACCTTTATATGCTCTCTGGACTCAGCTTGCATCCTCCACTTCTAATACTGCAGCCCTGATTCTTTCCCGGACATTTAGGATGACCTGAGAACTCAGCTACCTGACTCCAGCCTCTCTCCCACAGGCACAGAGTCCCATGGTCACTGCTGGCATATCTGACTGCCTAAAACACCCCCATTCAAAATCTTCATTGGAGTTTGAAGCCCTGACCTAACTCTTTGGCACTCAAGATTCTCAGCCCCATCCCTGAGCAGGCACCTCCGTGCTTTCTAGACCTCAGCAGATTGAATTCCTTGACAGTACTCACTTCTCATTAACCAGAAAATTTCTGGGATTTCCTGGTGATGCAGTGGATAAGAATATGTCTAAAGATGCCGGGGACATGGGTTTGATCCCCGACCTGGGAAGATTCTACATGCCAAGGAGCAACTAAACCTGTGCGCCACAACTACTGAGCCTGAGCTCTAGAGCCTGGGAGCTGCAACTACTGAAGCCTGAGTGCCTAGAACCTCTTCTCTGCAATAAGAGAAGCCACCTCAATGAGAAGTCTGAGCAGGACAATGGAGAGTAGCCCCTGCTCGCCGCATCGAGAGAAAGCCCGCACACAGCAACGAAGACCCTGTGCAACCAAAAATAAATAAATTAAAAAAGAAAACTCCTCAAGGCAAGACTATCATTTAAAATTTTTTTTCTACCCACCCTCCCCTCCACAAGCAGGAAGGTGGAAGGGAGGGAGTGATAAGGAAGCAAGGGAGAGAGTAAGATTTTGTCTCAGTTTAAAGAAGAATTCTAACAAAAGCAAGTTCACTAAAACCTAAACAGGGAGCCTCACAGATGGGTAGCTCTGAAACTGACAACGTGGAGGCTGACCGGCTACCGGGAAGAAAGGTAGCAGCTTACGGACACAGGATTTACAGGACTTACTTGGACACAAAATTAGGTAGAGATGGCCATCAAGGCGCCTTTTGGCTCTGGGACTCTCAGTCTTTGTCCATCCAAGTTCACCTCTAGAAAACTCATCCATGGTAGTTTTTCTACATTGTGCCTGGTACCAAGTTGGCATTTAATGAAGATTTCTGGTGTGAGGCACTTGATGGCAGATGTCCTCACATCCTTGTATTTTTGCCTCAAGAAAAACTTACTTATAATGGATTAATCAAAATTTTTTTCTCTGTCCCCCAAAGTAGCTTCCAAGAATAGTTTTGTTCAAGAATTTTCTTTTACCTTCAATAAGTTGAAGCCCTAAGTAGCATGGTTGAATATCTGATGACTCACAATTCTCCCAGGTAAAACTATTCCAACACTGCCATTTAGAATTCTGGTTACTAGAAATGCATTAGAGGGGGAAATAGTTTGGTTAATTTGTATTTTTTACTATTAACTAAACAAAGGAGAAGGAAAAAAAAGTTGCTTAAACAACTAAAACAAATTTACACCTATTGTTTATTTCTACAGCAAAAGTGTCTTTTTAAACATAAATCTAGGGCACATGTCAGGGGAAATTGCGGAATTCTAGTCTTTTCCATTTGAATACTGAGGACCAGGGACCACAGATTTCCTCCACTGGGGTAGGGGATGACTTTATAGCGATTAGAATGGATTTTTTTTTTTTCCAGAAGGGCGAACACTTTCACAATTTTTATCCTAGTATTTAACCAAGCTCATCTCAGAAGATTCTGGGCACCGTGTGGGAATGTTGGCCTGCCTAGACTGGGTTGGGGGGAGCCCTCCAGGGGCGAAGAGGAATGCTCTAGAGTGGTTCCCAGAGTCAGAATGTAGGAATTCTAGAAAACATCCTGAATGCTGCAGTTCGAGCTTCTGTGCCGAGGTGCTCAAAGGGGCTCCCAAGAAGAAAGATTACGGATGTTATTATTCGCCCATGTCTGAGCTTTCTGTCTCCATGGGCAACTCTGATTCCACCTGTGGCTCAGGAGGAGGGGCCGAGAGGCGCAGGAACAGGACCGACACGCGACCCCCTGGAAACCGAGAAGCTCGGGTCCAGAGCAGCAGCCTCTCGCACTGGTCTTCCCAGCCCGAGGGGACTCTGGCTGCCGGCGGAGGGGTGGGGAAGAGGGGGCCTTCCCCACGGTCAGGGGCTGGAGCTCTCGAGGGGGCGACGACCCGCAGTTCCTCTGCAGCCCCTCCCCGAGGCGAGAACGCCAGGTGCGCAGGTGTGGCCCGGCCGCCAGGTACAGTCAGCGCTAGCGCCTGGCCGCTGCCCTCCCACACGCCCTCCTTTGGGTCTGGTCCTCCCGCCTACCTTTGTGTATAGCTCGGCCACCGCCATGGGCAGACAGGGCAGCTCGAGGGCTGCGGAGATGAGAGGCTCGGGGGCTGGGCGGGCGGCTCAGCGGAAGGTAACCGTCCTGCAGGCCCAACAAATTAGAGCCGGACCATGCCGTGGGAGAAGTTTTCCAGCAGCCGAGGAACTTTCCCGAGTGCTGGAGGAAAGGAGTCGCGGATTGGCCCTTCCCGGCCCACCTGGCGAGGCCTCGCTCTGATTGGCGGGACGGGGGCTGTGGGCGGAGCGCCCCTCCGCCCCGCTGGTTCCCGCGGTTAAGTGGGTCCACCTGGCGGGGTCAGCGAGCGCTCAACCAAGAACTAGTCTGCTAGGGATTCCCTGGCTCTCAAAGCAGGAAAAAGGTGTGTTCCGAAGCGTTCCCGACTCAAGTTTTAGCTTCTTTAGGTCTCAGCGTGCTTACTGGAAGGAGCATAGGATATAACCATTTGCATAAAAATCCAGGAGAACCATTAGAACTTGTTAAAGAGTTCAGTCAGGTAACCATATTCAAAATCAGATGTTAAAATGAATAATTTTCCTGTGTATGATAAATAGCCAGTTGGAAAATATGATGGATAGAAAATGAGGTATTTGTAATATCAACGAAAACGAAGTATCCACTGACAAAAAGGCACTTTAACTTTGTGGAGAAAATGTTTGAATTTCTTTCCGAGGGTCAAAAAGAAGGTCGGAATGGGGAGTCATGCTGTTTGCATGGATAGGAATATTTAATATTATACAGGTGTCAACTGTACCCAAATGACTATATGAGCCTAATATAACTGGAATAAAAATCCCAGCAGGACTTTTGCAGAATTGCAAAGTGGTTTTATATTTTGGGGGGCTTTCTTGGTGGCTCAGACGGTAAAGTGTCTACCTGCAATGAGGGAGACATGAGTTCGATCTCTGGGTTGGGAAGATCCCCTAGAGATGGAAATGGAAATGCACTTCAGTACTCTTACCTGGAAAATTCCATGGATGGAGGAGCCTGGTTGACTACAGTCCATGGGATCACTGAGTTGGACATGACTGAGCAACTTTGCTTTATATTTTTTATGGAATAAAAGTCTGTGTATAACTGAGACAATTCTCAAAACAAAGAACAAAGAGGAGAGATTAGCCCTACCTTGTATTAAGGGATATCACAAAGCCATTAAAACTGTGTGATACTGTCATGGGAATGAATACATGAGTAATGGAACAGAACGTAGTCCTCCAACAGGACCTTGCATTATATAGTGGCCTAGAGAACCTGATGAGGAAGGAAGAGATTATTTAATGGAAGGGTCATTCAGTTCAGTTCAGTTCAGTTGCTCAGTCGTGTCCAACTCTTTGCGACCCCATGAACCTCAGCATGCCAGGCCTCCCTGTCCATTACCAACTCCCGGAGTCCACCCAAACCCATGTCCTTTGAGTCGGTGATGCCATCCAACCATCTCATCCTCTGTCGTCCCCTTCTCCTCCTGCTTTCAATCTTTCCCAGCATCAGGGTCTTTTCAAATGAGTCAGCTCTTCACATCAGGTGGCCAAAGTATTGGAGTTTCAGCTTCAGCATTAGTCCTTCCAATGAACACCCAGGACTGATCTCCTTTAGGATGATCTGGAAGGGTCATTATATAGGGGGAAAAAAGCAAGTGCATGGCAAACAGTACATCCAAAAATAAACTCCAGATGGATTCATGATCAAAACTTAAAAGCAAAGCCAGAAAAAAAAAATAGGGGTAATATCTCTACAGTGCTTGGCATGTGGAATCTTAGTTTCCTGATCAGGGTGGAATCTGTGCCCCTTGCAGTGGAATGGCAGAGTCTTAACGACTGTCTTAAGCCAGGGAAGTCAGGGGGTAATATCTTAACTGTTGGGTTAAGAAAGAATGAGTTAAGATACAAAGTAGCAGAGTTATGGAAGAGAAAAATTACAGATTTGAGGTCATCAAAATGAAACATTTCTGTTCAGTAAAGAACACCATTCACACACAAAAGGCAACAGATTAGGAAATATATTTGCAATTAAAAAATAATTAATATCTAGAATATTAATCTGGAATATATAAGAAACTATTGTAAACTGGTTAAAGAAAAGATGGGAACTCCAGTTTTAAAAATTGGACAATTGGTAGTGGAAATGAATAGGCGACTTGTGTATGGGGATACTGAAATGGCTGGTTAGCATATAAAGACATATCAACTTTATTAGTAGAGAAATGCAAATGAAGATAGCACTTTGCTCCCATATGATTAGGAACAATATTTAGGTTGGACAACATCATATGCTGCCTAGGATGTGAGGAAATAAGAACTGTTTTGCTCACATAGCTGTGGGAACTACACAATCATCACTTGGTATCCAAGGGAGGACTGGTCCCAGGACTCCCAAAGACACCAAACTCTTCCATTGCTCAAGTCCCTTGTGTATAATGGCATAGTATTTGCATATAACCTATACATATTCTTATATATTTTAAACCATCTCTAGATTATTTATAATACTTAATACAATGAAAATGCTATGTAAACAGCTGCTGGAAATTCAAGTTTTGCTTTTTTGGAAATTTCTGGAATTTAAAAAAAAATGTATATTTTGGATCTGCGGGCGGTCGAATCTGTGGAGGCAAAACCTGTGGATATTTAGAACTGACTGTACTGATACTCCCATTTGAGAGAACAATCTGAGAATATTTAGTGAAAATAGATTCAGGCAGAAAAATTTCTCACATAGTCTCACATTGTCACCCAGAGAGACAGTTAAGTAGATGTTCATCACAACACAGTTATATATCAAAGAACTGGAAACACTTAAATATCCATCAAAAGGGGGGATGAATAAGTAAAATCATGTGTGCTTACAATATAAAACTGTACAGCTTCTGGTAGGAGTGGACATGAGCTACCTATACCACTTAGAGAGATATGAAAAACAATGCTGAATAGATGGCTAGCACAAGTCATATATATTTTAAACTCTCAAAAATTGCAATACTATATGTTGTCCATGGATATAAGCATGTGGGTGATAAATTATAAAGTCATCCATTAAATAAACAAAAGTGGATATTTATGAGGTTGAGGGAAGTGGGACTGGGGATAAAGCAAAAAGTGATGCCAAAAATATTAAAAAGGGCTTGACATGGACCAACCACAATAGGAGCCAAAATAAGAAAACTATGGTAAATTCAATTCTGTGCACTATGTTATTGTCCAAAAAAAAAAAAAATAAAAAGAAAAGGCATAATTTGGGTAGGGACAGCTGTGTGGTTCCTCAGAGTTAAGAAAGGAATCTAAAGGTCTAATTACTTTTTTCTTGATTTTTAAATTTAGTATTATTATTAGCCACACCACACAACTTATAGAATTTTAGTTCCCCAACCAAGGATTAAAACCAGACCATTGCAGTGAAAGTGCTGAGTCCTAACCACTGGACCAGCAGAGAATTCTTAGTTTTTTCTGTAAGTAAAAAAATTTTACTGAAGAATAAAATTATGTACAGAAAAGTGCACAAATAATAAGTGTATATCTCAATATATTCTTATACATGGAATACAGCAACACACTTAAGTAACTACCACTCAACTCAGGCATAGAACATTTCTCACCCTAAACCTTCCATATGACTTCAAGCCATTACCCCTTACAGATAACCACTTTTATGACCTTTATCAGTATGGATTAGTTTAACCTATTTTAGATGTTTTTATAGGTGGAATCATGTTTGTAACTTTTTGCATTTGGCTTTTTACATGACATTTATCTATGCTGCTGCATGTAGCTGCAGTTTACTATTTTTGTTGCTGTATAATATTCCATTGTATAAATATTCTACAGTTTATTGATTCATTCTCTTGAAAGTGAGAGTGAAAGTCGCTCAGTCATGTCCAACTCTTTGCAACTCCATGGACTGTACAGTCCATTGGAATTCTCCAGGCCAGAATACTGGAGTGGGTATCCTTTCCCTTCTCCAGGGGATCTTCCTAACCCAGGAATCAAACCCAGGTCTCCTGCACTGCAGGCAGATTCTTTACCAGCTGAGCCACAAGGGAAGCCTGAAAGGAAGGCAGAGGCCAGGTGTAACTCTCATGCTGTGACTCGGATTCATTCTCTTACTATTTAGTTGTCTCATTTTGTGATGATGAGGCTCAGGGCACACACCACTCCAAGATGTGCTACTCTGGCATGTGGATTATTTTCAGTTGAAAACAAGCAGGCTCAGAGTCCTCTCTGTGTCCCATTGCCAGCAAATATTTGTTTACCCAACATTATCTTCCTGAAATTACCTTACTTCTCTTTGAAGTCTCAAAGGGGCTTTGAGACTTAGTCCAGAATATATGATACCTCTTTGTCATTATTCCAGAATATATGTATACTTCATCTTGCCTTACTGTCTTTGGAATTCTTCATATTTATGTGCTTTATCTATTAATCCCACATTCCCAATTTATCCCTACTTCCCTTTCCCCTTTGGTAAATAGAAATTTCGAAATGCAGTACTTGGATGCAATCTCAAAAACAACAGAATGATCTCTGTTCATTTCCAAGGCAAACCATTCAATATCATGTTAATCTAAGTCTATGCCCTGACAGTAACACTGAAGAAGCTGAATGGTTCTATGAAGACTTACAAGAACTTTTAGAACTAACACCCAAAAAAGATGTCCTTTTCATTATAGAAGACTGGAATGCAAAGTAGAAAGTCAAGAAACACCTGGAGTAACAGGGAAATTTGGCCTTGGAGTACAGAATGAAGCAGGGCAAAGGCTAATAGAGTTTTGCCAAGAGAATGCACTGGTCACAGCAAACACCCTCTTCCAACAACACAAGAGAAGACTCTACACATGGACATCACCAGATGGCCAACACCAAAATCAGATTGATTATATTCTTTGCATTCAAAGATGGAGAAGCTCTATACAGTCAGCAAAAACAAGACTGGGAGCTGACTGTGGTTGAGATCTAGAACTCCTTATTGCCAAATTCAGACTTAAATTGAAGAAAGTAAGGAAAACCATTAGACC